ATTATGCTACCGCGGCCCTCACGGACCGCGTCCAAATTCTTCTAGCCATTCTTAAGCTGGTCCTGCCTGCCATGCCTGGTCGGCGTGGATTTTTTTCTAGTTATATTTTCTTAAGCACACTATTTGTTTCTTAGGTTTTCACGCACACCGTTCTTTAAATAAAACAAGTTTCAACAGTATAGGCGTCAGAATTTCTGACGACGCCGCCTGAAAAGGATGCGATACGTCATAAATAAATAAATCAGTGCATCTATACCGTTGAAATTTGTTTTATTTAAACAGCACACTATTGAGTTTAGTAATTTTTAGAAAAAAATCCACGTGTACCCAGCACCCTTCGCAATCCGGACGAATGCACTGACCATTATGCTACCACGGCCCTATTGGCCGCGTCGAAATTTTCCTAGCCTTAAGCTGCAAGACAGCGCCATCTCTTCGCATTGAAGGTAACCCACAATGTCAAATGAATACTTTTTCAAGTATTAAACATTTGAAAGAAGAAATAGTAATTATAGTTATATTTTTATTTATTTTTAAGCATTTAACTGCTAGATGTTTAAATCTAAAGAAAAGTTTACTAGAAAAAAAAATCCACGCGGACCAGGCAGCGGACGGGACTCGAACCCGCACCGCATTTTTTTTATAACCAAACGCTCAATAAAAGTCTTTCGAAGGTAGCTCGACAAATTAAACAAAAGTTTTATTCTGACGACGTAGCCTGTAAAGACTACGAAACGTCAATAAATAAATAAAGTTTTCGTGCATTAACCCGTAAAAACTAGTTTTATTTAATGAGTGATGTGCGTGAAAACCTAAGAAACAAATAGTAAACTTTTCTTTAGATTTAAACATCTAGCAGTTAAATGCTTAAAAATAAATAAAAACATAATATGGAAGAGGTTAAGCCGGACAGGATGACTGATTTGAGATATTTAAATGTAAAGTACTCTAGATAAAAATAAGTAAAACGTATTTATATTTTTATTATTATTCTTTTTAAAGCATGTATCTGCTAGATGTTTAAATCTAAAGAAAATTTTACTGGTGTCTTCACCCGGATAGCGAAGGGTTCGAGCCCCGGCTGCTGCCTAGTCCACGTGGATTTTTTCGGGTAAAATTTCTTTAGATTAAAAACATATCTGTCTTATTTTTTTCAATATTAGGTCCTTACATATGAAATTGGTGTTTTGTACGGATGGAATACAAAGTCATTATTTTTTGTAAAATATATTGAATTAATCTAAGTATGCACCATTGTCATCTATGCACTTTTGCCATAGGAGGTTTATTAATCCATTTACTAAAAAAACCATGGGGGCAAGAGTCAATAAACTCTTTGAAGGCGGTTTGGACTGCCGCATTGGAGTTGAATTTTATTCCTTGTAAAAAGTTGTCCAAATTCCGGAAAAATGGTTATTTATTTATTTTGTACAAACACAACAAACTATTTGAAAAAATAGAAACAAGAGATATGTACAAGGGCATTGCTTATATAAATATTAATATTTCTACCAGCAGGCCCGCGAAAGGAAAGAACATAGAAAAAGGTAGCATGTGTGTACTCCTGAATAGATATAACATAATAAATTATATGCAATACATACATAAAATTCAAAAAAAAAAAACAAAATTCAATATCGTTTATTCAGTCTAGGCTGGTACAAGCACTTGTGAATGTCGAAAAGCTACGCCATCGGTTCGCAAATCTACGGCGGGAGACCTTGTACTGAGAAGAACCGGCAAGAAACTCAGCACGGGCTGATTTTTTCTCCCTGTTTTATTTCATACAGTGTCGTCCAATTGAAATTTGACATCAAACTTGCAAACATGTGTTGAGGTCAACTTCCATCACATAATGTCAAATATGTAACAATATACAATCAACGAATTTACTAACAATAAGTGCAAAGAAAAGTCTCAAAATAGCAAGAAACAATTTTCAAAACAAAATGAACAAGTCTATGAACGGGAGTAAGTGCTAGGTTCTCTTCAAAACTCTTTCTAAGGCTGGGAGCCTTAGTTTTCATATAACTTTTGAAAATTATCTACAGGTAAAATTACAACCAAGCCGTTTTATCATTCAAATATTGATTGACAGTATAATATCCTTTCTTAAGTAAACAATTCTTAATGTGTATTTTAAATTTATTAGGAGGCAAATCAAGGATATCAATAGGAATCTTATTATAGAAATGAATTGTAAATCTGTTGGAGCAAGGTCCAGGGAGTACGGTGGATGACGCAGACATTCCAATTGTAGCTCATCTAACTAAACTTAATAGTTGTTTGTTGTGTAGTGTGTGGTTTTGCGTTGTCGTGAAGCAGCAGTGGCAAGAGCGATTGACCATACTCGGTTGTTTAGTTCCTTCATGGTTTGCGGTTACTGATAAAAGATAAATAAATATTTCCAACACTCACACCAATTAGCCTAGCCCCAAAGTAAGCACTATAAGGCTTGTGTTATGGGATACTAGGGTAACGGATAGAATACATATACTGTACATATATAAGTATATTTATATAGAAAATACATATTAAAAATCCATGACCGGAGTACAAATGCTCGTATTCATCACACAAACATCTGCCCCCACCGGGATTTGAACCCGGGACCTCTCGAGTCGGCGACACCATGAAACCCGGCGTACAAACCACTCGGCCAAGGAGGTCGTCAAAATATCTGTCGTAATCGTTTGACCAGAAGAATGTTGTAGTGATCGACACCGGCACTAGTCCACCAAACACTCACAAGTAACTTTTTCTGAGTCAATTTTCGTTTTGGGCAGGATTTGGCTGGGTCTCCAGGGTTCAGGCATAGCGACGAGCGCTTCCGATTATCGTACAGTATCTTAGATTAAAACCAAAAGGGTAGATACGGCACTAGTTTCACAAAAGTGATCCGCATGAATTGTGGTCCACGACCCTAATCGCTTTAGTCACAACTTGATATGCAAATGACGTACATGTGAACGCCAAAAAGAAATATTGCTAATATTTTGTGTTTATATGATAAAACAATGCAAAGTGTGTTTTTAAAAAGTGCTCAAATTGCTCAAGAACAAAAATAAAACCCACGGCATCACTTTTCATTCGTAAGTACTATAAAATATATTTTTTCATAAAAATTGCTGTTTGTTTTGAATATTATTCGGTAGTGACGTCGAGTACTGGTCGCGTGATTGGTCGGTAGTGCAGTGACGCGGATCTCACCGTCTCGTTCGCGCTGCCGTTGAAACTTAACGTGCTGTTTCGTTCGGGTCGGTAATGCAGTGACGCGGATCTCGCGGTCCCGTTCGCGCTGCCGTGGGATCAGTTTTTGTTTGATGCAAGTATGAGTGTACCGTATCTACCCTTTTTGTTTTAATCTAAGTACAGTATCCATTTTTCATCACAAGTAATGACCCGATTTAAAATCCTTTCATTATTGTGTTGGTTGAGCAAAGTAACACAGCAGTCGACGCGTGTTTGCAAGTTCGATTCACTCAATTCATGAGGTACCCATCGATCAAGTTTTTTTTACTTTCTCTATTTGATTCATGTGGATTAATAGTTTTGTCACTTACCCCGAAGCCTGCAGCTAACTCTGAAGTGCTTTGTGATGGATCCGTTTCCACAATAGCCTTTAAATCTTCATTTTCCACTTAGGTCTCCGGCCGTCCACGGGGTTGGTTCTGAAGCTGTTCTGTTTGGTTGGGTTAGGTCGAAATTTTCAGAACGAAAACGTTGAAACCAAAAACATACTTTGCTTTCTTTTGCGACACCAGCGCCGTACACATCATCAATCCTTCGTGCTGTTTCTGCAGCACTGGTGCCACGGTAGAACTCGTACTCGTAAATATACTGATATTTCATGTTTTCCATTGTGCGGTAATAAGCGACGCCGAATAAAAAGTAATGAGGAAAAAACAAATGAATGACTGTTGTCAAAACTCAAATGTACCAGCTAAATGAATTTATAAAGGACATTGGGCAAAAATGTATGGACGCTGCACTCACGTCCGCCACGGCTTAAACTACATTTGTTTGAAAGGTATTATAGTCATGATCATATGTGCCAAAGCGCATCAAATTCTATCCCGGGGGTCTTTAGTTATTTTAAGTAACAAGGTACAAATAGGTACAAGTACTACAACGAACGAACATTAATGAAACAAGGGAATTATTTAGTTAGTTCGTTCGACCCTACATAGGGGGCTCAGATATTATGGGAGTACTTCACAAGGTTCAAGGGTTATGTTATTCTGCCGCGCTAGAGTAAATCCAAAAATCTCCGCATGGGTTGGGGTTTTTTCAAACATTCTGTTCGTTATAGTAAATTGTCTTCTATGAAAAACGGAGCAACCACAAATCACACAAACTTGTCCATGCTTCGTAGACAACAGGATTCGATCCGATAATCGTGTTCCAATGTCCAAAGCGTGTTAGATAAAAATCAATCAAGTTACAATCACAACGAAGTAAGACGAGTCGACTATTTGCAACTGCAAGTCCTTCAACCCCCGTAAACCGATTTGAGGTGTCTCAGTAAGTGCAAGCGTAGGATGGTCGGCAGGCTTTGTCGTATATCTGGTTGTTTAGTACGATATGGCATAATATTATGGTTACTAATAATATAAAATGCAAGTACTATAAAATAAATGTATTTAGCTACTTAAATCTGCCCATGTGTCATATCTTTTGACTACCAGGATATTTTTTTACGATGTCATAATAAAAAAGGTTAGTTTTTCATAGATCTATCGATTCATACTAATTACATTGTTGGCGGAGCTGGGTGTGTTTAGCCCATTGTCCTTTGTTTTTGGAATTCTTAACCAAAGAGGAGATACTTCAGATCAAACTGGTCAGTACGACAAAACGCTCATTTCATATTTTCTTTAGAAGATTTGTTTTAATTTAAATAAAGTCGGTGTTAGTGTTGACGCTGCTTTGTCAAAGTAGAAGTAGATTAGTGGGTAGGCATATGTTATTTTATTATGTACTATATCATAATAAGATACCTGTTTTGGTCGGAGTGCTGCCATCTGGGGGGGTCCTCTCTATTGGCGCCGACGTCAACTGCATTGTGTCTGGAACAATCATACAGGAACAATCAAACATCACGTTTTTATGTTCATCATTACAGACCATTATATTTATTTAGTTTGTGATTGTGACGTACTTATTATAGTGACCGGAAATTAAGGTCCATTTGCATCAATGTTCTTAATTAAAATTAAGGCTTAGGGCGCGTTGTTTCATCGATAGTAAAATTTGAGTTCAGTTGTTCAGCCTTAAAGAATGTTTCGTTTTTTTTTCATGTGTATTTAGTACCATTTGGCTTAGAAAGATGGCGCTAGTAAATCCTGTCAAATGTTTGGGTATATATGCTAAATCGCGCTGTAGATTTATTTATGAACACATATATATTTATGGTAGATAAATAAGGTTCAAATTGCGAATAACTTGGGCCACAGCAATCTGTGGAAACAGGGTGTAAGAAGGCCAAAGGGGAAGATCTTCCTCCGAGCTGGGTGATGGTACCTTGGGGGCCGCGGCCCGACTGATGTTGGTCGGGCATCGTATATATGAAGAGTTAGCCTCCGAATTTCATTTGTGCGATGTAGGCTTCCATACTAATATTGATCGCAGTGCAGGTAACGCCATCTCTTGAGGATGGTGAGTAATGATTTCCTTCCTACATCCGTTGTATATCTGTGGGGCATATAGATGTCGCCGCCACAAGGGTACCAGTTTTTTTTTATTTAAGAGGTCAATCAGTCTGTCAATCAACCCCCATTAAAACAACCCTCAAGTAGTACAGGGTTGGACAATAGTTAATGTTAAGTCAAATACCACGAACCATGTAAGTAACAGTTAAAAAAATGCCTTCATGCAGTTCTATTTTTATTTTTAAACATTTAACTGCTAGATGTATAGATCTAAAGCAAATTTTACTAGAAAAAAATCCACGCGGAAATGGCAGCAGACGGGACTCGAACCCGCGCTAAATATAACTATAATTGCTATTTCTCCTTTCAAATGTTTAATACTTGTAAAGGTATACATTTGACATTGTGGGTTGTCTACAATGCGAGATGACGCTGCTTTGCAGTCTAAGAGATGCTAGATAAAAATCGACACGGCCATCAGGGCCGCGGTAGCATAATGGTCAGTGTATTCGCCCGGATAGCGATGGGTGTAGGTTCGAGTCCCGTCTGCTGCCTCGACTGCGTGGATTTTTTTCTAGTAAAATTTTCTTTAAGCATTCGTGTACTTATATAAGTTTAAATTTAATTTTGTCCAAATTATTAATGAAATCATTATTTCATAAGTTTAAAAGTAGTTTATCGATCGTTGTATGAAAATTAATTAAAACCGGAAGTGTCAAATTGTGCGAAAGAAGTATGGCCGACTGAGTCATGGCGGAATATTGAGAGTGGACAGGGAGATTCTGCATGGTGAAGCTGAATACGGTAAAGGATATCTGGTGGGGTCGAAACCCCGGAGAGTGGACTGTAGGTGGGTATTAAGGGGGTTTGGTTAATGGGATAGGATGAGGACAAAAACACTGTGCTTACTTGAGGGCCTCGATGGTGGCGCTGGCTCAAACGCCGGCTTCTCCTGCAGCAGTCTTGTCCTGATGCCAGCGGTTTAAGATGGCGGTCAAGAAAGTCCTTTTTGATAGCTATCACCAATCACACACAAACCTCCTATTTTCGAGAAAACTGTTCACTTAAAGATTGTTTATTAATCTTCACACTTATTTATATGAGTTTAATGCGGAAAAATATCTATATCACAATTGTTGCGGAGCCATGAAAAATACGACCATTTCGTCCTTACGCGGTGACAGAACTTTTTTCTTTTGTTGATGCGGTGACAGCCTGCTGACAGAGCCATTTCCTTCCGGCCATCCGTCGTTGCAGGCAAATATATTGCTTCTTCTTCCCTCATAAGCATAAGGCACAGTGTTTGAAGGAGAAGGATCTGTTGGGATTAATTTGGAGTTGAATAAATAAGTTGTTGCCTTCTGACGGAGTTTCCTTCATCATCATCATCATCAACCCATGTTCGTCCACTGCTGGACATAGAGACACTGGGCAGCATTTCGTAAGCTTCGTCAAGTCTTCTCGTCTCAAGTCGAAAGTCTTCGACCAGTGCGTCCTCCCAGTTATGACATACGGCGCCGAGACGTGGACACTCACGGCTGGACGAGTCCACCAGTTTAAAGTCGCTCAGAGAGCTATGGAAAGGGCTATGCTCGGAGTATCCCTGAAGGACCGCATCAGAAATGATATAATCCGACAGAGAACCAAAGTCACCGACATAGCCCACCGAATTAGCAAACTGAAGTGGCAGTGGGCTGGTCACATTAGCCGCAGAACTGACGGACGTTGGAGCCGGAAAGTTCTTGAGCGGAGACCGCGACTCGGTAAACGTAGTGTAGGATGCCCTGAGACAAGATGGGATGATGATATTCGTAGGCTGGCTGGAGTGGGCTGGATGAGAGTAGCACAAAATTGGGAGCAGTGGTGTGCATTAGGGGAGACCTATGTCCAGCAGAGTTTCCTTACACTTCCATAAAGACATTTTAAATATTTTATGAACACTTGTTCATAAAAAGTTTTAACTAAAACAAAGCCTTACCTTCGCAGCACAATCGAAATTTATCTGTTGTCAAATCGTAACAAAACAGCTACATAAACCTACTTTTTACTGACCTTAAATTAAACAGCTTTGTTCCTAATAAGTCTTTTTAGTACCGCTCGTTGAACTTGGGTCGGCGTTATCCCGGTCATTTTTAACTGTAGTTAACACCGGTTTTACAGCCCCGAGATGGTAATCTGCATTTTACGAACCGTTATTATTTTATTTCAGGGGGGTAAGTAGGGGAGAGGGTACCTCCAAGATTTTTCCTTTGTGCCGTATGTAAATGTGAGTGTAATTGTATACCATTAAGAGTTGATTAAAAGAGGAGTTCGATAGCGCAGGTGGTTAGCGCGTTCGGCAGCGATCGTTGAAGTTAAGCAACTTTCGTAGTGGTCGGTCATTGGATGGGTGGCCAAAAAAAAGAAGGCACGTTAAGCCGCTGGTCCCGGATGCATCTGCAGTTGTTAGCACCCGCCTGTGCCCCAGCAGTGGGGCCATTTATAGACTGATGATGATGATGACTCTCGAAAACTTGTCCCACATCTTGTCGACGAAGCTTTGGTACTTTGGTTTAATGTTTAGTAATTGCATTAAAATTATCGTTCCAGAATTAGTTCCATCGTAGGTAGGTACGCTCCTTCAGATGTACCTACAAAGGACATTGTTCTGCGTCCATACATAGTTAGCCTAAGAACCAACAATCATGTAATATTATTTTCTAGGTTCGAAATCGCACGTAAATAACTGTAAAAACAAAGATTATAGACGGACACTTCTGAGAACTTAAATTATTAGGAAAACTAAAATTTTTTTGAGGTTATGTTTAATATTCAATAAAACATAGGTCAACCTATGAACTTTGTATGAAGTAAATTAATATTACAACTAATTCATTTTATTCGGTGCGATTTTAAAGAATAACTATTAGGAAGAACTTGGTTAGGTAGGAATCATGAATAAAATAATAACAATATAATAGTTTTGCTTCTTATTATTTATTGACCTTTTTTTCACATAATTGTATCATATTGTATTTATTTGTTTAACACATGTATATTGTGTTAATATGCAGCGTGAATGTGTATCAGGTGCTCTTGAATAATTTGGCAGTATGATCCTCTCAGGATGTTATGGCACAGGTTCACTAGCACTTGGTAAGAAGGTTTCTGCTCTTTGATAACATCGATGGCATATTAGATAGCCGAAATAGTAATAGTTAAATTAAAGGAAAAACAATCGCAAATAAACACACAACAGGTAATCCGAACGAGAATTCTCCGTTTATAAAAAGTACTCTGACGAGAATGCACGAATGCCACAGATTACTACGACTGCAAACTGCCTGCACCACAACCACAGAGTATCAAGTTTATGCCGGCCCTTCACTTGACAACAGTTTGTCCTTGTCATGCTTAATAAGGAATGAAAAGGACAGAATGATGTCATGTTTTTAAATAGGAATAGGAATTACGAATAGCCAAGTGAAGTGCCGGCATTAGGAAGAAAGTGTTTTTTGTTTGCAGCGCTGTCATAGATTATACACATAAAATGGTATTTATTGTCTCAGATTATTTATTAATTTTTAATTTAGCTTACTTAACTGGATGTGTGACTGGATTGTGTCCGTCACAATCTAAATACTGATAATTATCGCAAAAAATATACTAAGAATTATCATGAATGCCAAATTGGTGTTGGTTCTTAGGCCAATTTTAACATTGTCCTTTATTTTCATTTTTTTTGAGTGTGTATGTTGTTGGTCGCAGATGATCTTTACAGCGTCACCGGGTTTGGGGTCGGCAAGATCGTAAGGGGACATCAAGCCGAGAATTGGCGAGTGCCTTCAAATGTATTCCAGGCGGATGGCATCTCCCCACGGAGGGAATCTCCTATCCGTCTGGAGCCTCTAGACTACTCGAACCTGAGGGAGTCGGCTCAACTAGAGGGCGTCTCTGAGACTCGGACCTCGGCTCTAGTTAGCCGTTGTCGTGAGAGGCGGGGAAAAACGCCCAGGTACGTACCTGTACTTGGTATAGCGTGTCGTGTGTAGACCGGGTCTTCGCACTCTTATCCTAGGTGCGGTCTCTGCCTAATGCTAAGCTAGTGTGCAAGTATGCTAGCTGTGTAGTGTTTATGTTTGTGGCCTGTGTGGGAGGAGTCGGAAGCGACAAATTCATAGTATCCCACAACATCTCTTAAGTGTTTCACAGCAGAGGAGGCCCGTTGTCTTCGCACGAAATGTCAGTATGGTCAAATACGAGCGACCAATAAGAACAGGGCGTGCCGCCATCTCGTCTATTGAAAAACAATTGTTTTGGACGATACAAAAGGGTTGTACTATTCATCCAGTATGAATAAAGATATATTGATTTCTTGCCTCCTTCTTATCTCAAAAATAGCCAGTCAAGTTATCGAGAAGCGTCTATTATTGAGACAT